TTGCTATGTGTCTCATGAAGTCATGGAGGTGCACATTCTTCACCAGGATTTCATGGAAACAGGCAGATGACAAGTTATCTTTGGGGATTCAGTCTCAAAAATAGACTAGGTGGTAAGGAGCTAACACACCAATTAGCAGAGTTGTAGTTTCTAAATTCTACAATATAAAGCACTTACCAAGAACAGGCCAAAAAAAAAAAATTGGTAGGTCTTTTGGGGAAAATCAGTTTATCCAATGAACAAAGAAAATAATGGATTTTTAAAGATATAAAAAAATTATCATGCTAGAGACTGATTAAACAGCATCTGTCATGAGTGTAACTATATAACAGGACACTTCTGAGTAAAAGAGGCTTTTAATAAAAATACCAGCAAAACTATGTTAATAAAGCTTCCCTGAGTGTTAATAAACTTAACAATAATCATGGGAATGAATTACAATGTTCTACAGAGGAGCTGGTCTTAATCAAAAGGTCAGAAAGCACAGATGGTGCTAATACAGTTTCTTTCTTGCTCCACTCATATACTTGGTGTGAAAATAGCCAGGAACACTTTTATAATTACACAGCACAGCAGTAATTAATATTGATCTTGGAACTTACAAAAAATCAACATTAATTTGTAGAACACATTGGATTCAGTCTAGTCTTTCTCTGGAATTCACTCAGTGGGCAGTTTCACCAGGCCCCTTACCACCAGGACAACAGGCTCAAACCTGGGACAAATTGTCAGAATACAAAAAAACAAAAAAGTTTTTTGTTTTAAGATGGAGTACACTTCTGGGGGCTGGAGTTGTGGCTCAGTGGTGGAGTGCTTGACTAGCACATGTGAGGTCCCAGGTTCAATCCTCAGCACCACATAAAAAGATAAATAAAATAAAGGTATTGAGTCCATCTACAACCCCCCAGACCCCCCGCAAAAAAAGAGTATATTTTTTATGGATTTTGAATCCCTAGTAAAATGGTGCCTTGTTAATGAAAAGAAGCATCTTTTCATTGAGTTTTTGACTTGAAAGTGTTTGTTTTTATTTTCTATTTTAACAAATATCTATTGTACGCCATGTCCTAAACAACAGATAAAGTGAGGAGAGATGGAACAAATGATGATCAGCCCAATTTTAAATATTGTGTAGTCATTCGTAATTACTGAGATTAGTGGTTCACAAACCTGACTGCACATTTGAATTACTAGGGGAATTTTAAAAAATACTACTATATGCTTTATCACATAGAAACTTATAAAATGTTCAGAGATTTAAAAATGGCCTAAAATGGAAATAATTTAAATGATTATAAACTGATGAATGTTAAAAATAAGATGTGGTATGAACACAGAATGAATCAATATAAAGGAATGAAATACTTGTGCTACATGGATGAACATTGAAAACACTATTCTAAGTCAAAGAATTCAAACACAAAAGACCACACATTGTACAATTCCCTTTGTATGAAATGTTCAAAATTGGCAAATCTATAGAGACAAAATGCAGATTAGTGGTTGTTTAGGACCAGGGATCTTGGGGATGAATGAAAAGTGATTGCTAATCACAGGATTTCTTTTCCAGGGTGATTCCCAAACATTCGCAAATTGATTCACAGTTGTACAGCTTTGTGAATAAAAGAAAATCCAATTAATTGTATACACTAAATGAGTGAATTGTACAGTATGCAAGTTAATGCCAACAAAGCTGTTCAGAAATACTAAGCTTGAGGACTGGGGTTGTGGCTCAATGATAGAGCACCTACCTAGCACGTGTGAGGCACTGGTTTGATTCTCAGCATCACATATAAGTAAATAAAGGTCCATTGACAAGTAAAAAAAAATGTATTAAAAAAAAAGAAATACTAAGCTTGGGTCTAGCCTCCCTTGGTTCAGGTAGTAACTTGGAATTATATGATTTTTTWAAAATATTGTTTTTAGTTGTAACTGGACACAATACCTTTATTTTATTTATTTTTATGTGGTGCTGAGGATCAAACCCAGGGCCTCACACGTGCTAGGCAAGTGCTCTACCGCTAAGCCACAACCCCAGCCCTGAAATCATGATTTTAATACTTCGCACAGGGAACCACTGAGATAGAATGGATAACTCAAATGCTTAGGGCTTTACGTTTTTTCTTTAAAAATTTTAAAATGAACAGTTTTCATTTTCCTTTCCTTTTTTTTCTCTTTTTAAAATTATGGATTTAAAAAATATTCTCGTAGTAGTTATTAGTAGCTATAAGTGCTATGGTTTGGATCTGAAGTATCCCCCAAGATTCATGTGTTGAAAGCTTGTTCCCCAATAGCAATGTTCAGAGGTGGAGCTCTGGGGAAGTGACTGGCTCATGAGGGCTCTGGCTTCATTGGTGGATTAATTCACTGATGGTATTAATAATTGGATGGCATATGGGGGAGGTAGTGGAAGTGTTAGGAGGTGAGGCCTTGCTGTCAGTAGGTCTCAGGGGTCATRCCCTAGGAGGGTATTTCTTGTGTGGAACACCTTCCCCTGTTTCCTGTCTGCCAAGAGCTGAGCAGTTTTCCTCCACTATAACCTTCTGCCACTGTGTTCTGCTTCACCTCAGGTCAAAGCAAAGAAGTCAGCCAACTGTGGATGGAAACCTCTTAATAAATAAAATTAATTTCCACCTTTAAGTTTTTCCTCATGTATGTGTCACAGCTACAAAAAGCTAATGCAATGAAAATATTTTAAAAACAGTAAGCACAGATAGCGTTGATGAGAGATGAAACGGCAGGAAGTCAAAGTTGAAACTGGTTAAAAATGTTTGACTTTTCCTTTTTCCCTTTCCTCTTCTGTCTCCCTCTCTTTCTCGTGGTTATGAAGATTGAACCTAGAGCCTTGTGTATGCTCTACCACTATAGCCCCAGCCTTGACCTTTTTCTTTTTTGATTTTGGGGTTACTGAACAGACGGGTCTATGTTTAGGTTTTTGAGAATCTGGTGGTTGTAACTGTAGAATGATCAGTTTTTAACGTGTTATTTAGTGGCTAAAAGAGCCAAGTCACTGAATATATCATTTCCGATTTACTTTCCTTTGTACACTAGCCATCAGCCTCAGTCTGAAATATTGAGGACACTTAGCTTCCAGGCTCAATGCTCCTACCTGAGCCTGAGAGAATATGACTCCGGGCAATATACTCCAACCCCACTCCCTCGAATGTTTGTTATAGGCAACGTTAGAACTGCTGCTCTGAAGTCGGGTATCTTGAACACAGACTCAATGGACTGCAGCTTTCCTGTGCATCTCCATGGCATGTGTGTAGTCTTTATGACAGGGATTCAGTGTAATCTTCAGTAATTGGTGTGGAGCAGGGCCTGATCTACTTCGAGCTGGCAGGCTGATATCCTGCTTCATGCTGGAAAATCCAGCATGTGAAACCTGCAATGTTTCACCCTGTCAGCTGCCAGACAGTGTGCCCTGCCACTGCTCCTGGTATCCCTGTCTGTTTGAATGCTGATGCTGGCCTGAACCCTGGCCCAGTCAGAGGCAGAGTTGTCCTCAAATGTCTACTTGGACATTACTAGCGACCGATTGTCCCTGTGTGTCCCTCTGGCATGTGCATGACATGGCTGGATTCAACTCTTTTTCTCTCTGGCCTGACAGTAGAGTTACAACAGTATCTTTCAAATCTTGTTAGAAATAATGTAAAACATTCACAGTCCTATCAAGTATTGAAATCATCTTGTTCTTTTTAAAATTTGAAGAGTACATTTTAACCTGACTCTACTTTGAGAAATTTTTGATAATTTCACTACACATTAGTATTTCTGGAGGGGTGGAATCAACCAAGGAACAGTATTCCCTGACTCCAAAAGGTTGGGAATTGGAGAGTTAAAGTGAGAGTGACTAAAAGAGGCAACAAAAACACTCTTGTCAGCTTATAGACACTGTATTGACTCTTGAGTCTGGGGTCTCTGTTAGGGTCACTGTCATTAACAATCTAGAAAGGGTTAAAGGTATGCTCATCAAATGTGGGGAAGAAATTTAACTGAGCAGGAATAACAAATGGGTGGGAAATAGTATGGAGAGCCTTTACACGAATTACATATTTAGAAACCAAAAGAACACATGGATACGAGAAGCCAGATTGTAAGTGCTGAAAAAAACCCAGGGACATAGTTGAGCATGTGTCACCCTAATCTGGCAGGGAGGGAGTGTTACTGTGAATCAAGAAAGCTATACAGTTCAACACTAAGGAGCTCACATGAGTGTTATATCGGTTGACCGGACAATAATAAGCAACATAAGCAAGTTCTGTTCTAAATATTGCTTTGTTATGAGCAGCAACTGTGGTTTCACAGTTAAATCTAAAAAATGACAACTGAACAATGTCTGAATTCAACAGGATATACCATAATCTATAGCAAGTATTCATTAAACATTTATTACTTGAATGAATGACAAAATAATTTCATCCAACAATCTTAAGACTAACTACAATGTTTAACTCTTTACATCTCATATGTTCTTATTCTTTCTGTACTCTGTGCACTCGTTTCTAAAAGCTTAGAAGTTCTATTTCTTATCAAAACTGCTTATGTTCATGGTGAATAAACTGGTGGCATTATAAAATTATTTTAGTTCAAAAAGAAAGGTAGATTTCTGCCAGATTTACCCTGTTGCCAATTATCTGAAATGAATCAAGTAGAAATATGAATTAAAATTTTGTATCACTCTCCAAATGTTCATGTATTCAGTTCTACCWCTGTAGACTTTATTTGGAAGATTTTGACTTTATGTGAAACTTCAGTGTTCAGGGAATTTTCTAATTTTCATACGGAAGCCTTAATATTCAAAAGTGTTTATCCTTCAAAGATGCAGTAGGTCAGAAACCTGAAAAACACTTTCTTCACAAGAGGAAGAAGTCTGCTTCCCAAGGAATATGCCATGGTCATGATTCTATGCTCACATGTCACACAAAGATGGGCTGTTACTGGAAAGTTATTTTGTACGGTTTGTATTTTTAATTCTCCTATTTTTTTTTTTGTTCAAAAAGTAGTCTTCATTTCAATCAGGAAGTCTGTATTTCTTCCATTTCAAACTCGTCTGTCCACTGTTGAAGGTCTTTTGCATTATGGGTCGTCCATAATTTTGCAAAATACTTTAGCCTTTTCCTGGAGAAAAAAAAACAACATACTTAATTTAGAAATGAAATTGTCGGGGACAATACATCTCATGGAAAGCTAAGAAAAACCTATGCCATTATAATACCAAGCAGGCTCCATGTTAGGAAACGGTGTCAGCACCAACCTTGCAGAGCTGCTGCTGTAATAAGGAATTGAAGCTATAGATCACCACTGCCTCCATGTGACCTTCTACAATCCCTCCCTGCAGAGAGGGGACAGTGCAACTTCCTCCCCTCTTAACTCTGCCAGAGGGGGACTGTGTGTATGTGTGTGTGTGTGTGCCTATCTGTACCTGACAACAAAAGCACTCCTGCTGAGAGTTCCAAAAGTGGAATTGATTTAATAAAATAAAGCTGGCTAGTGAAAGAGGAAAATGTCAGCATTACTGAGACTTAAATTTTTCCTGCAGAATAGCAACCCAGTTAAGTAAGTATTCAGGGTCTGGAGCTGCAGAACCTGAGTTCCAATCACTGCCCCTCCTCCAATTAGGTGTGTGACCCTGGGTCAATTCTTTCCCTCACTTGGCCTCATTTCTCTAAACTACCCAACTCACAAGGTTGTCCCAGGGTTTAAGTGATTTAATGTACATAAAGCAATAATAACAGTAATGAGTGAGTGTCCAGGCTGCTACAAATGACTGTTCACACTTGTCTCTGCACACAGTAACCATTCAATATATATTAACTACTGTAAAAAATCCACAGGAAGGCACAAAATTTCAGCAAAAAGGCAAGACAAATAGTGTCCAGATAAATTATCTGATTTATTTCAATGCAACCTCTTTCAATAATTCTCTGATCTTATCAAGATAACTTTATAAATGCCTCACACTAGTCAGAAGAGTGAAAATATTTATAAGCAATGTGTGAATTTTCTTGCTTTTGCTTTATAGGCTATGTAGAAAGCAACAAATATAAACTAAATATTGCCAGCTTGTACATGTATCCTTTGTAGCACAGCTTTCTTTAGGGAAAAAACAATAATAACAAAGATGACAAGAAAGGATTTAGAATTTGCAGATGATTAAAGGCTAAGTTTATTTTTAAATTCTCATAGATAAAATCTGCTCTCTGGAAAACTTTTACATTAATTTGCCTTGTAATAGAAAATTATTGAAACTATTGATGCCACTTTGCTTTTGATCTGGCACTATGGAAATTATCTAGAGAGAGTGTCAACAGAGGAGGCTAAGTGTCATTTGCAGCATTCCAGTATTCTGGACTTGGTCAACACAACCATCACACCATTACAAGGTATGCAGAACCAGGGGAGGGAAATGGAGAGAGAAGCTGATTGCACTGCACAACTCCACTTCAGAACAGAAGTTAGCAACTGTTCTTTAATTTTCAACCAATACTACATATAATAATAGTTCAATACTGACATGTGGTAAAGAGTTCCAGAATTAATTAATATGCTTGGAGTGTAACACAGGGACCACTGGTGGCCAACCAAGACTTTCTATTTGATCAATAATCTTGTCCACTCATGGTCATGTGGCTATCAACCAGGGCAGTATTGTCCTGTCCCCAGCAGATGACATTCTCCAGGCAAAGCAGAGGCACAGGAGCAGGAGGACAGGGAGCTTATGTTGTTTTACAATTTATATTTAGGATACAAAAGGCTATAATGTGCTATTTACTAATATGATATTTTCTTAGAACCATTTCTCTTCTGAAGTATAAACAGGTATATATTAAGATTAACTTATATACTGACTACCTACTAGCTGGGTATCAAGGGTGAAAAGGTAGAAAACATTCACATAACATTTTAGGTGGGGCTGGGGATGTGGCTCAAGCGGTAGCGCGCTCGCCTGGCATGCGTGCGGCCCGGGTTTGATCCTCAGCACCACATACAAACAAACATGTTGTGTCTGCCGAGAACTAAAAAATAAATATTAAAATTCTCTCTCTCTCTCTCCCTCTCTCACACCTCTCTCTTTGAGAAAAAAAAAAAAACATTTTAGGTGACAGAAGCCAGCTTACAATGAAAAATTTGTCATAAACAATTCCCCAAACAAGTGATATGTGGATACATGGTGAGTCCATGATCACATAATACTATTATTTTCATTCATATTCTGACAGAATTCTTCATTTTTAAATGTAATCATTGCCTATCTGAATGAAATCTATGAATAAAAGTAGTCCTCTGTGGTTTTAAATATTGAAGTTTCTTTCAGTAACTGTATAGAATTGAATGCTTTTAGCAGCTAATACGTTGTCATACATAGAGTTAACTTAATTCTTCAAAGAAATGACTGAAAAACAATGTTGCACCTTAATCAAGAACTGATTGATCAATAAAGACAAACTGAAAATGATAAACATGGACTGAATTCACCTAAGTTTTGCCAAGAACTGTTTTCACTTCATTGTAATTAAATATTTGAGAATCTTTGAAGATGTGCTTAAAAGMAGATCTGATGTTAACTTTATAGGATAATCCTTTTCTTTGGGCAACTTGGAAGGTTTCATTATAAACCAAAAACTGCAGCACAAATATTCTGACCTTTTCACATTTACTAATTCTTCAAGTTCTTTTGACTTATAAGCTGCTTTCTTTAAAATCTCTCCAGGAACATCTGCTAGTTTAGCCACATTCAGTCCATAACTCCTTGCTGCAATTCCTCTGGTTATTTGATAAAGAAAAGTGACAAAATCAGGCACTTGTTCTTCTTCACCTATGGGAAAAAAACAAACCAGAACAAAACAATGGGTGATCAAAATCACACCAGAAAATTGACATATTAGGGGACAAAAGAAGAGATGTAAGTTCTTATAATTTTATTCTATTAAAATTTGCAACCTATACACTCAGAAAAATGAGAAATTATATCCCATCTGATTCAAATGTATTATATGTCAAGATCATTATATGCTCATGTGTAACTAATTAAACAAACAAACAAACAAAACAAAAAAAATTTACAATCTGAAAAAGAATCTACTGTCCCTACCATTTACTAGGTACTTTAATCAATTTTACATATCTAGAAAAATGATAAATAGTGTTTTAAAAATGCTTTTGCATTTAAGGCCCTGGGGCTGTGGCTCAGCAGTAGAGCCCTTGCCTAGCACGGGCAAGGTGCTGGATTCTATCCTCAGCACCACATAAAAATAAATAAGTAAAATAAAGGTATTGTGTCCAACTACAACTAAAACATTTTTTTAAAAAAAATGTTTTTGCATTTAAGATCTTTACTCATTTAAAACAATTTTTAACAATTATTTGTTGCAAAATTTTAATTGAACTTCTATATCAAAAAACAATGGTTTTGATACATGATACAACATAATTTCTTTCTCCTTTTAAAACAGATAAGGAAATATTACATGTTGCATAGCCTAAATAATAAGACTGAAAAGTTCTGGTTTATTAACTATTCTGATTGCCCAAGAGTTATACATACTGAAGTGGAGGCTATTGAGTACTACTTAGATCCCACTTAGGACTGAAGAGTTTATGCCCCAGCTATCATTAGCCAGGAAGATTGTTAGCCTGCAACCCTATCTTTGGGCCTCTGTAGGGGAATGACTGCAGCTGAAGAGAGCTGCTTCACTAAGGGTACACTCTTTTCTTGGGGTAGTGGGCATCCAATAACTGGCTGCTATAGGGATAGGCATGTAGCCTCTAACATGGCCACTAAAGATTCCTGTCTTCTAGTGCTCATGCCCTTGTGTCATTCTCTCCCTTTGAGTGTGGGCTGAACCTACTGACTCACTTCTAACAAACAGAATATGATAAAAAGTGATAGGATGTCACTGTAGAAATTAGGTCGCACAAGACTCTGCCCTCTGTCTTGGCCGCTCTTACTTTCTTGCGTGCTTTGAGGAAAGCCAGCTACTATGCTGTAAGTTGCTCTGTGAAGAAGCTCACATGCAAACTACTCTCATCAGTAGTCAGTGAGGGACTACCAGCAGCCATATGGGTGAGCTTAAGTAGATTCTGCATTCTGAAGTTTGCCAAAAGCTGTAGGAGGGCTGGGAAGCCATTTACCTCATCAAGGCTTCCAGTGACTGCTGTCCTAAGCTGTACCTTGATGTAGCTTTCTGAAAGACCTCAGAGGTGCTCAGTTAAATTGCCCCTGGATTCTAACCAYGAAAATGAAGAGATGATAAATGTGTTTTGTTGTTTTAAGCCACTATATGATTTATTATRCACTGTTTTCAAATTATTTCAAACTAATAAAGCTAACTAATGAAGGGTATATAAAGACCTTGCCCTATAACTCCAAGGTGAGGTAATTCCTAGGGACCATCCCAGCCTCCGAGCTCTCTGCTGAGTTTTCTAAAGCCTAAGACCCAACCCTGCACAATACTTCTCAGTCCTGCCCTCTGGGTTGATCATAAGGACATTCTCCAATAAAATTCCTGAATGCAAACCTCAGAATCTGATTCCCAGGGAACCCAGTATGTCACACAAATACATATGCATGAATTTAAAACTTTTAAAGAACTGGGATATAATGAAGTACAATAATATGAAGATAAAACTGTACACAGTTTAATCTTTGTTAAACTTAATGCACTTCAGGATTATGCAGCTTTTTAAATAAAATTCAGTATAACTGTACTGTGTGGCAAAAATGTCCAAAATGGACTCAATTTATAATGATTTTGTGACCCTAGCACTGATTATAAGCTTATCAAGAGCTTTTTCTTATTTCATTTGTCAAATGTGTATGCTTTTATTTTTTCATCACTAAAGAGAAAAAAAAAAAAAAGACTGAACACAACAGTGAAAAAAATACAATGGAATTTTCCTTATCCTCCTCCAAGAACTCGGCAGCAGACAAATAATAGCTTTCTAAGAGTGGCTGCTAGAAGTGGGAGTTAAAAAGAATACTGATGTGCTCAGGAGTACACAGACTCCAACATGTATTACAAACCACTAMAAATAACATTTGCTTCAAATGAAACTTAAGGAACACAAAGAACAGGTGAGGAAGTGGGTGGGGACAGATTAGGGAAGACACATGTATGCAGAAACCAGTGTCTGCAAACCTGGATGATTGTGTTTTGCTTCAGCAGCAGGCCACCAAAAGAAAGCAAAATGTTTTTTGGTGTAGTCCTTCAAAATTCTGAGTGAAAATGACTTTCAATCTCAAATTCTAGCCCTCACTGAATTATAAATCAAATATGAAGGTATAATGGAGACATTTTCATTTATACAAAGTCTGAAAACCTATTCTATCTCTAGACACACACACACACACACACACATATATACACACAGACATGTTATACAATAGCTATAAACCACAGCTAAATTATATAATATATTATACTGTCCTAATGCCTTCCTTCACATACCTCAGCACAAACTAAATCTTGTCATCATATGCTGGTATCCACCATAGTGTTAACTACTGTAGTTCTCACACCAGGTAAAGAATGTGGCCATTTTTAATCACCTCGGGGACCTCTTTTCATTATGTTTTGCCTCAAGACTCCTTTATTCTCCTTGAGTGGAGGTGTGTGTATAGGATGGAGACACAGAGGCAGAGGGAACCAGGGAGGAGAGAAGATAAATAAAAACAACTCATTTCTTTATAACCTCACAACAAAAGTTCTTGGTGAGGACTCTACTGATGAGCTATGCCCCTTTCTAAAGTGGATATTTTGAAAACATATTTGGTTCTTTTTAAAATTAATGAATGTAATAATTCAAGTTTCTGCTTATTATAAGAAAATAGCAATATTTATTTTGAAGACAAMCTTCCTTAAAAGTTATTAAAAAGATGTGTGCTGATGATCAAATAATTCCTGAAGACACTTTTAGGATAGATTCATGAAAATTTAAAGATAGATAAAGTTAGCTGACTTGTCTAAGATTTTATAGGTTGCAATAGACAAAAACACAGGTTTCCTGAAGGCTGGTCCATTACTTTATCTACCACATCAACAGAAATAGGGAACATTTTAGAAGCCAGTTAAAAGAAACTTGGGGAAACTTTCCTGATGACTTAAGGAAGGACCTCTAAYTTAGAAGAAGAATTAGATTAGGACYAACAGGCTATCAGATGAAGCATAGATATAGCCAGGAGCAATACTGGAAGGGAACAATAAATCAACCTTCAAAATTCTGAGTGAAAATTAATTTTAACCTCAAGTTCTAGCCCTAGCTCAATGACAAATCAAATATGAAGGTACAATGAAGACATTTCATTCATGCAAAGTCTCAAAAATTTTACCTTGTTCAGTTGATGTCAGCAAGCCCTACCTAAAACCTATTCCACCTCTAAAAAAATAAAAACCCTGATATTAGTATAAGGAATTAGCTCCATGACCACTTAACTCAGGGGACAGTGTCCTCATATCCAGCTCCAAATGTTGATCCTGACTAATCTAGGCAAATCAAAGTCATTCTTGCAATCCTCACTTGTAAGGACTGGCTTAASAATAGGAAAGACAGAGTGGTTGTACCAATTCGCAGTGCCACCAGCAATGTATGAGTGTACCTTTTTCTCCACATCCTCASCAACACTTATTGTTGCTCCTATTCTTGATAAATGCCATTCTAACTGGTGTGAGATGAAATCTTAAGAGTATTTTGATTTGCATTTCTCTAATTACTAGTGAAGTTGAACTTTTTTTTATATATTTGTTGATTGATTGTATATCTTCTGTGACGTTGTCAGTTCAGCTCCTGAGCCCATTTATCAATTGGGTTAATTATTCTTTTGGTGTAGAGTTTTTTAAGTTCTTTATATATCCTGGAAATTAGTGCTCTATCTCATGTGCGTGTTGTAAAGATGTTCTCCTACTCTGTGGGCTCTCTCTTCACGTTGTTGATTGTTTCTTTTGCTGAGAAGAAGCTTTTTAGTTTAAATTCATCCCATTTATTAATTCTTGATTTTATTTCTTGCACTTTAGGAGTCTTGTTAAGGACCTAATCAACATGATAAAAATTTGGGTCTACTTTCTCTTCTATTAGGCRCAGGTCTCTGGTCAAATTCCTAGGTCCTTGATCCATTTTGAGTTGAGTTTTGTGCAAGGTGAGAGATGGGGGTTTAATTTCAGTTTGCTACATATGGATTTCCAGTTTCCCTGGCACCATTTATTGAAGAGGCTATCTTTTCGCTAACATGTTTTTGGCACCTGTCAAATATGGGATAACTCTATTTATGTGGATTTGTCTCTGTGTCTTCTATTTAGTATCACTGGTCTACTTTGGTGCCAATACCATGTTGTTTTTGTTACTATCGCTCTGTAGTATAGTTTAAGGTMTGGTATTGTGATGCCTCCTGCTTCATTTTGCTTGCTCAAGATTGCTTTGGCTATTCTGGATCTCTAATTTCTTAAAATGAATTTCATGATTGCTTTTTCTATTTCTATGAGGAATGTTGTTGGGATATTAATTGGAATTGCATTAAATCTCTATAAGGTTTTTGGTAGTATGGCCATTATGACAATATTAAGTCTGCCTATCCAAAAACATGGGATATATTTCCATCTTCTAAGATCTTCTTCAATTTCTTTCTTTAGTGTTTTGTAGTTTTCATTGTATAGGTCTTTCATCTCTTTTGTTAAATTGATTTCCAAAAATTTTTTTTGAGGCTATTGTGAATGGGGTTGTTTTCCTAATTTCTCTTCCAGAGGGTTCATCACTGATGTATATAAATGTATTTGATAAAGAAACTGTGTTATATATACACACAATGGAATATTACTCAGCATTAAAAGAAAATAAAATGATGGCATTTGCATGTAATAGATGGTATTAGAGAATATCATGTTAATAAAAATAAGACAACCCCAAAAACCTAAAGGCCAAATGTTTTCTCTGATAAGTGGATGCTGATCCATAATGGGGGAAACGGGCACCATGGGAAAATTGGAGGAACTCTGATTGGGCAAAACAGAGGGAGGGGTGGGAACACGGGGGTAGGAAAAATGATGAAATGAGATGGATATCATTACCCTAGGTACATGTATGACTGCACATATGGTGCAACTCTACATCATATACTACCAGAGAAATGAAAAGCTGTGCTCCATTTGTGTACAATGAACCAAAAGATACACTGCTGTCATGTACAACTAATTAGAACAAATTTTAAAAAAAAGAAATGAGGGCCTGGGGTTGTGGTTCAGTGGTAGAATGTTCATCTCGCATGTGTGAGGCACTGGATTCCACCCTCAATGCTACATAAAAATAAATAAAGGTATTATGTCCATCTACAACTAAAAAATATATAAAAAATGAAATATTTTGTGCTATATTGAATGTGACAGTAGAGAAAAAAATAGTTTGTATTTTCATTTACAAGTGCTCAGTGTGGTTATGTTCTTGTTATTAAGTGATGTGCATTGATGCACACTTGTCTGGAAATGAGGTATAATCATGTCTACAACTCTTAGATGRTTCAAATAAGGGGACTTCTCTTTCACTCAGAGCTGCTCCCTTCACCTGGTTGTAAAGCTCCCTTTTCCTTTCTTTTTTTYACCCTCAATTAAAGCTTTGCCTGAATAGTTGTGCAATAAACAAATAAACAAACAAACAATAACAACAACAAAAGAATAGAAAAGACAGTAGAACAAATCTACCATAATTTTCCTATATATATGAMAATACCCAAATGAAACCCACTGTCATGCTCACCCACAAGAATTKGGTCCTAATTAGAATAAGAGATATCCTATGCTTATATAATTTTATTAAAGTGGATTATACTATCAAAATAACTAAGAAGAACCAATTTAAAAAAAAAAGAATGAAGATGTATCATGGTGCAGTGGCACTTGCCTATAATCTCAGCAACTCAGGGAGGATGTAAATTCCAGCCTCAGCAATTTAGGGAGACTCTGCCTCAAAACAAAAAATAAAAAGGCCTATGGGTGTAGCTCAATGGTACAGGGTCCCTGGGTTTAATCTCCAGCGCGCGCGCGCACACACACACACACACACACACACACAAAAACGACAATGAAGATGTGATTCAATTCTGAAATGGGATGGGATAATTATGAGATAATAAAAGGCAACTCAGAAAAAGTTCCCTCATTTCTCAGAAAGAGTCATAGGCGGGGCTGCTGGTGTAACTCAGTGGCAGAGTGGGTGGTTAGCATGCAAAAGGCCCTGGGCTTAATTCCTAGCATATCAAATAAATACAACTAAATTAAAATTAAGTAAAATTTAACAATTAAAAAATAAAATAATAAGATAAAATAGAAGAAATGGTAGCTCCTTTTCCTTTGGTGGACATGGTCAATTCTGGATGAGATGCCTAAAAGAGTTGCAACAATCTTGCCACTAGTCTGATGATGGAGTCAGCCAGGCAAAGAAGACAGMCTAGAGAACTGCAAAGAGGAGGAAGGGGGAGGTCCTATGTTCCTCACAGGATCCTGTAATGTGAGATTACATAGAGTATCATCTTTTGTTTGAGCCACTATGAGTCCACTGTGTTGTTCCTTGCAATCAAATGCACAGAAGGGAGGGTTAGAGAACTCCCAGGACAAAGGCAGCCTTAGGACAATAGCTGTGCGGCAGGCCCAGAAAGCAACTTGTTCAAATGAATAGGAGGACAAAGCGCTCCAGCAGGAAGGACTCCAGCAGGAAAAATAGATTCAATTATGTGGGAAAATGTGTAGAGAGACATTTTATAAAGGTATTGGAGAGTAGAAGAAGATTCAGCTACAGACTCAAAGAAAACAACAAAACACATATATAGAAATGAAGCAATTCTTATCCTTAAGAAAATAGAAGCCTTTAAAAAAAAGAAAATGTACTTTTCTTCCATACTTGGCTCAGCAGTAGACAATATTTCTTCTGCAATAACAGTTAAAACAACATACATGAATGAAATAGAAAAAATGTGGAACGACTATACTGGAGGGGATCAGAGGAAGGGAAGGCTTAGTCCCAACTAACACAATGAGAGTTCCATCAATTATGTGTCAAGCTGATGGATCAAGGGATAGAAAACATGCAAATTATTTGGAAATATGACAGAAACGGAAGAATGAGTTCAAAGGCCTTGGACTTGGGTTGGGGGGGCCATGGAGTGAAGGGACAGAAACTTGTTAGCAGAAGCCTTTACTATCATTTCATTTTAAGAATCATGCTCATGGATAAACTTTTAAATCAATAAGATAAAATGCCAGAACACTTAAGGGGAAGGGATAATGCTCTAGGTTAGCAGTCAGTTCACATCAAATGCTTAGTGGCACTGATTTTGCTTCTTCCCTGCTGKTGAACTTTATTTTATTTGTCTCATGGGTTTTAGCTTATAAGTCTTCTTCTGTCATATTGGATGCAGATTAATAGATCTGAAACTACTTCCATGAGAGAATTTATGATGTGTTTTTCAAGTCTGCCTGGTGGTAAAAGGCAGGAATTGTCTAACATTAAATTTATCTTAGGTCTAGTACTTTGTTTTATTTGGGCCAGTTGCCTGATTTCTTTTTCAGGTTTGTTCTTATTACTTTTCCAAAATAAAATTTGGACTTTGGAGTATCTTGGATAATGGAAAATCCATTATAGTTCCCCAATTTTGCAAAGCACCACAGGCTGACAGCTTAAAAAAACTACTACTAGATAGGAAAAAATATACATATGTTAAAGCCTACTAGATTACTTAAGGAACTTGAATTTATTTCTACTAGCTAATGGTATTCTTTTTCATAAAATGTCTCATTTCTGTGACAGTAGCAATAACTGCAAAGTCCAGAAAAAATACTGTAGATCCCCTGCTGGAGAGCTAGCAGAGTGAAAGTAAAGAGGACCTGGAGGTAAAAAACATGGATTCTAGGCTGTTTAGCTCCTACCTATATGGCTGACATGAACAAGCTACTTTACCTGAATGAGATTCAGTTTCCTTATAAAAAAATAAAATACATGTCCAGTATAGGATATAGTCCTTAGTGAGTAATTAATGTTAAATAATAGTTTGAGGAAAATACTAGTTATTTTTGAAGGCRACTAATAATATTCTGCACTCGACTATCAAGGCATCTTTCCTGGGATGGTAAGAATCATGTAAGAATATAAGGAACAAAGAGGAACCTTAAATGTCACCTTCATCTTTAACCATTACATCTGGAAAAAGAGTTGCCACTTCATGAGGAGGATCAGAAAAGAAATCAAAGATAACAAATAAATAAATACATACTTTGCTTGACCCAAAGCTCAGAGGAAATGAATTTGGACAAATGCTATTTATAACTGACATTCATAACTTTCATTATTAATAAGCAGTAAGTTCATATTCCTATAAAATCTGAGTTATCAAACATGAAAAMCAGTATTATACCTACTGCAGGATTATCTCATACCTGGATCCTGTTGGCTTTCGTCCTCACTGACCAAGAATCCCATGTGGTAATTCCCCACCTGTTGTGCATAACTTTTTTCTAGTTCACAAACTGGTGGATAATGGGTGACAAACAGGGTTAAGGATTTCACCTAGAGCAATAAGATATATAGTAAGTGTTATTTTATTTTWAAATTTTACTTTAATTAAAGCTTTTCTTCAATGTTTTTGGAAAAATTTCGAATCTTCATAAAAATTTCAAGAAAATACAATATAGTCTTTATCTAAACAACTAATTGTTAATAGTTTGTCATATTCCCTTCCTTCCTTTCTCCCTAAAGACACACACACACACTTCTTCCTGAACCATTGAGAATTAGTTGCAGACATGATCCCTAAAAACTTACATTTATCTTCTAAGAACAAAAACAGTTTAATATATAACCAGAATAAAATTATTACACTCAAGAAGCTTACTATTATAAGACATTTAGTCCACATTTTCTCCTGAATGTCCCAATAATGCTCTTTTCCATCCTCTTTTTTGTCTTTTATAACATTAACACTAATAAGTAATTATAGCAAAGTGGCAGTATATAAGTTTATATACAAAAAGTCAACTGCTTTCCTACATATCAGCAATGAAGAAGTAAATTTTTAAAACAAAAAATATAATACCATTTACATTAGTACTCCCAAAAYTAAATACCTGGGTAAAAAAAATCTAACAAAATATGTGCTAGATTTACATGACAGAACTATTTAACTCCAATGAAATAAAAAAAAGCTAGATAAGTAGAAGATAAATCACATTGGTAGGAAGACTCAAAACTGTCAAGATGTCAGTTCTTCACAACTTGATAAAGATTTAATGCAATAGCAAACAAATTCAGATAAGATATTTTGTGGATATCAGCAAATTATTTCTAAAGTATACATGGAGAGGCAAAAGAACCTGAAAAACCCAGTATTAAAGAACAAAACTGAAGGATTGATGCCATTCAACTTTGAGATTTACTATAAAGTTACAGCAATCCAAACATTGTAGTAGGGCTGGGGTTGAAACTCAATAGTAGAGCACTTGCCTAGCATATGTGAGGTATTGGGTTGATCTTTAGCATTGCATAAAAATAAGTAAATAAAATAAAGTTAAAACAACTACAGCAACATTGTTGCAAAGGTGAAAAAATTAGACAAATTGGCCAATAAAACATTAATAGTCTAGAAATCRACCCTCATGGATAGAGCCAACTGATCTTTGAGAAAGTGGTAAAACCAACACAATGAAACGACGATATTCCTTTCAACAAACGATGCTGGAATAACTGGATATATACATGCCAAAGATGAACCAAGACCCAGATATTACACAAAAATTAACTCAAAATCAATCACAGACCTACATGTCAAACACAAAACTATAAAACTCCTAGAAGATAACATAGCAGAAAAAGTCTAAGAATGTTCTAAGAATGGCCCAAATCAAGAACACTGACAATACCAAATGCTGCCCAGGATGCAGAACAATAGGAATGCTAATTTTTTGCTAATGGGAACAAAAAATGGTATAGACTCCTTGGAAGACAAATTAACAGTTTCCTACAGAACTAAACATACTCTTACCATAGGATCCAGCAATCATGCTCCTTGGTATTTACTCAAAGKAGTTGAAAACATGTCTACACAAAAATATGCACACAAATGTTTACAGTGTCTGTATCCATAATTGCCAAAAACTATAAGCAATTGAGATATACAACAGTAGATGAATGGATAAATAAACTGTAATAAACCCAGACAATGAAATAGTAGTTGGCATCAAGAAAAGAAAAGATGTGGAGGAAACTTAAATGCATATTATTAAGTGAAAGAAGCCAGTCTACAAAGGTTACATACTGTCTGATTCTAGCTACATGACATTCTGAAATGACAAAAGTACAGAGACAGTAAAATAATTAATGGTTTACTGGGTTCCAGGAAGAGAAATGAAAAGGCAAAAACAGAGGATTTTTAGGGCWGTGAAAATACTCTGATACTAAAATGGTGAATATATGTCATTACCCATTTGACCAAACCCATAAGGTAAACTGTGGTCTTTAGGTGATACTTACATGTTAATCAGTTGTAACAAATAGATTGCTCTGGTGGGATAYTGATAATAGTAGAGGTTGTGAAAGGGTGGGGACAGGGGCACCTGTGAAATCTCTGTGTCAATCTCCTTTCAATTTTCTTGTGAAACTAAAAATTCTCTAAGAAATAATATCTTTTTTTTTTTTTTAAAGGTTAAGTCTCCTGTTTCTGGAGAATCCTTTTACAACATTAAGTTTGAGGTCATAATTTATTACACAGTCATACTAACTAACAGTATTATCTAGCAGAAACTATGAAATCCAACTCTAGGGTACCAAGTTCAGTTCTGTCATAATTTATTCCTAAAGATTCTTAAATCAACATTTAAAATGTGGATTGGGTGGCACCAATGGGAGTTTATCCAAATTTCCATTATATGTAGTTTCCATAATGATTAAGGTAGTTTTTCAAATAAGTAAGAATTTTTTTTTAAAAAAGAATAATACAAAGTATTTATTAAGGAGAAAACATGCCATCATTATCTATATAATCTAAATAAATTAATAAAATAAAATCTGGGTCTCTCTTGGGTCTTCACTTCTAGGATGACATGGAAAAGAAGGAACAACACTCATGCCAAAGGACTGTGGCCATGTGCAGTTGTTTGCTGCACAAATGGCAATCACTGGGAGCATGCCGAAGGATAAAACCACTAAGTCCATTTATGTGATACACAGTAGAGGTTATAGCCATCAAGGATATTTCCATGGTRACTGTCTATGACATTGAGGAGCTTTCCAAGCTGTGACACTACAGTCATATGTTGCTTAATGAAGAGAATATGTTCTGAGAAACCTATCATGAGGTAATCTGTYCAGTTTGTGAATATCTTCAAGTATACATACACAAAGTAAGATGGCAAAGATGTCATGGACAATATAATTTTACAGGATCATCTGTTTGGTAGCTGGCTGACTGAAAGGTTATTATGTATGTGGCCAATGACTGTACATTATTGTATCACTTGTGCCATTCACAGCAARGTAATAAGGAATCAGTCCTGTGAAGCCAAACAACCCAGCCCAACTAAGACCACAGATGCTGCCCCATGACCCTCCTAAAGCAGTGTAAAGAATGGAGTTCTTAAGGACCGAAGGAAAGCTATCTTCTGTGGGGGGGAGGGGGGGAAGGGGGAAGAAAGGAAAATTAGACTTTAAAAACAAACCAAAAACCGAGAGTCACAAAAGATTAAAAAAGAAAGAGGAATTTTAGTTTGAAAATATGCTTTTATTAGTTATTCAAGGAAGAGAGGAAAGATGAAAATAAASGAAAGATGGAGACAAAAGAATAAGAAAATATAAGGTAAAACAGGAACAGAAAGGCTGAAGAAGACATGAGGCTGAAGAAGAAGCAGATGCTAGGAGGAAGAGAGAAAAAGAGATCAAAATGAGCAAAGATTGTCAAGATCATTGTACTGTCATGTGTAACTAATAAAAAAAATGAACAAAGAGTAATAAAAAAGGGAGAGATGACAGGGGTAGAGAGCTGAACACAGAGTATCACACCAAGGTGCTTAGAAATGCACTCTGAATAAAGAAGTATGCATTGAAGGAGTGATGTTACTGAACAAGAGAGAGACAGAGATGAGACCAAAGGTGTTACACTGAGATCTTCTAGGACATCAGTGAAAAACATTTCACAGGGTAGGCACTGTCTTTTTGTCTTTCCTCAAGCAAATGGCTTAGGTGAGTGATCCCTACTCTTGATTTAGTTTGCCAACAATAATAAGATAGAGTTATGGGGCTGGGGTTGTGGCTCAGCTGTTGAGTGGTCATCTAGCACGTGCGAGGCACTGGGTTCGATCCTCAGCACCACATAAAAATAAATAAAATAAAAGTATTGATCCAGCTGCAACACACACACACACACACACATACACATATATAGATATAGATATAGATAGATGGATAGATAGATAGATAGATAGATAGATAGATAGATAGATAGATACAGTTTATGGGTGGGAATCTTGCCAGAGAGGCCTTTCTCCTAGAACCAGGTATAGCAAAAGGAAGAAAGACTTATCAAAACTATGAAATTTACTTAGGGCCAGTCTAAGTACAGAGTAAAACATTCGAATGATCAGTCACAGGGATAGATAAATTATAACAATGGTAATTTTGTGTATTTGGAGATGGAGGTCAAGATAATAATTTTGTATAGTATGTAGCATCCATATAAAAAAGGGTATGCATGAAGGATGACTACAGACAATAATAACCTATTATATATTTCAAAATAACTAAGATTTTGAAACTAATAACTAATTTCAAATATCTCACCACAAAAAAATTAGGTAATAAATATGTTAATTAGCTTGACTTAATTATTCCACATTGTTTATATATCAAAATATATTATAATGTATCCCATAAATGTACACTATTATAACTTATCAAGTAAAAACAATATTAACAAAAAATTAATTTTAAAAAGTATGTAGGATACTTACATCTGTAATAAAATACTCAAGGGTGGCATAAGCGATGGCAATTCCATCATGGGTGCTCGTCCCTCTTCCCAATTCATCCAAGATAACCAAGGACTGTGATGTTGCTTTTCTGATTATTTCTGCTGTGTCTGTCAGTTCTTCCATAAATGTACTCCGTCCTTTATATATATTGTCTGCAGCACCCATCCTATAAGTAAGAYGAAAACACCTTGACTTTCCTTGGAACTTTCTTATTATAAAGCCAAAATTTATTTTATGAACAATAAATATAAAAGCTCTCTRGGGACCTATTAAAGATATTTGAGCCAACAATAGCTAAAATTTTATTAAACAAAAGAAATCCTATGTTGGATGCAAAGAGCACCTAAAAACAAATTGCACCTTGTAAAAACATTCTGGAAGGAATGAGATATTGAAAAGAACTCCTGAAAAGTAGGAAAACTCCTGACCCTGCTTTCTTTCTACCAATTATTCCAAAGCAAAGTCTTAATATTCATTGTTGTCACACTTAAAAATCCATGAGTAGTAGGATCCTGTACAATTAAGGTGGGGGGTTTGAGTGGGGTTGTTTTGAAGAAAATTCCACATTGTTATTGCAAATTAAAGTACCATGGACAAAATAACCCATTACATATAATAAAACTTTTTACTAGAACTAGAATTATAGATGATTAGTAACCTTGGACAGCAGCTCAGAGAGGTTCCCAATGTGAACACAGTTCCTATAGAAGTCAAGAAACGGGTCTAAAAGACTTAAGGGTTTCTTTCCAGTAAGACTTTTTAGAGCATTTAATATTCAACTACACATTGTATTTCTTAAAGATGGGTCTAGTTCATAGCATTTCTTTAACTCATTTAACTATGGACCCCTAAAATTTCTTCTAGAGCACCAGAAGCAATAATGTTTTACAGACACTTTTGGGAGAACACACATTAAGTGCAAAAAGAATCTGAAAAGAAGAATAAGGAATAATTAGATAATACCATTTAAGGTCATTATTTAATTGCAAAATCTAAAATTCAAGTCTTTAACCTGCTAGCCAGCTTTGTGTCAATCCTGGGAACTATTTTCTCTGCAAAATCTCCTCATCAATTTTGTATTGCTTCAACAGTTCACAAAGTAAGTAGAGCTCATCCTTCACACATGACCTATAGCACCATAATATACCTTTCATTTCTGGATCAACTCATAGTGAAAGTGAGCCTTCATCAGATGTGTGGTCTCAGCCCTACAATAGCAGAGGAGACAAAGTGTCCCCAGATGGGAGGGGACCTTAGAACTGCTCTGGTGATTACTTTTGAAACTCGAACTATATCTATGATGGAATTAATAAGAAATGTTTACTCACTGACAATGTCATCCATTTTAAAATCAATAAATATAAAACAATTTCTGAAATGCTAAGTTAAGAACATTCTAAATATTTGTTCAAAGTTCAAATACTGCCTCAACTTTCAGTGTTTAYTAATGTCTCATTCCTGCCATAAAACAAGTAAGTTAAAATTTCTTTTCTCTGAAACAACTCTATATTCTTCAGAATCACATTGGATCTCTATTTGCCACTGTTTGCTTTAATTCAGGCCAGGTTGTGAGCTGACAAAAAAAAAAAAAAAATCTTTAATCAACAATAAAATGCTATGATGAGGGAAATATTCTGAATTTTCAATTCCCAGGAATTAGGAAAAAATGTATGAACTGGATAAGATTTTAATACAGGTGGTGCACACCTGTGGATTATAGTGTGTAATCCCAGTGGCTTGAGGCTTAGGCAAGAGGTTCATGAGTTCAAAGCCAGCCTCAGCAACTTAGCAAGGCCCTAAGCAACTCAGTGAGACCCTGTCTCTAAATAAAATACAAAATAGGGCTGGGGATGTGGCTCAGTGGCTAAGTGCCCCTGAGTTCAATCACTGGTCCCTCTCACCCTCCAAAAAAAAGAAGATTTTAATACAGAAGTTTAAGTCTTCTTAAGAGTTTTGTAAAAACAGTAAAGTAATAGAGTGGTTTACTTAAAAATTTCAGGAATTATATGTTACTTCTGGGGAAGTTATTCGTAGGCAGATATACACATATACATATAAAATGTTTGGTATATTAAAGTTTTCAAATTAGAGAGGAAAAAAATGAATGATCAATCAATAAAAATTATACTAGGTGATTTGTTATTTCAAAAAAATATGTCCTTATTTGAACTATATTCTAAAATAAGGTATATGGATTTAAAAATTTAATGGAAAAATAGAAATTACAAATATACCAAGCTAACTAGATGAAATTTAATCTTTGGATAGGTGAATAGGTGGCTTTATATACATGGTACCAAACCAAGTGTTTAGCAAAAAACACATAATGCAAAAGTTAAGGGTAAATCAATACCTTCAATGAACATAGATGCCAAAAATCTTATTAAAATAATGGCAGTCAGGCACAATGGCATTCCAATGTAATTCCAGGGACTCAGGAGGCTGAGACAGGAGGACTGCAAATTCCAAGCCAGCCTCAGCAATTTAGACCCTAAGAAACTAAGTGAAACCCTGTCTCAAAATAAAAAAAATAAAAAGGGCTGGGAATGTGGCTCAGTAATAAAGTACCTCTGGGTTCAATTCCCAATGCTCTCCCACACACCAAAAAAAAAAAAAAATATATATATACACACACACACACACACACACACACCCCAAAAAAATATATATATATATATACCACATACAAAAACACACTACCATCATCAAGTGGGTTTCATCTCGGGATACAAGGTTGGTTCAACATGAAAATCAATAAATGCAATTYACGACATAAATAGACTTAAGGACAAGAATCACATAGATTATCTTAATAGAAAACATTGGACAAAGTCCAGCACCTGTTCATGTTTAAAACACCAGAGAAACTAGGAATGGAAGAAACTTATCTCAACATTGTAAAGGTTATATATGACAAATCCAAGGCCAATATCATACTGCATGGGAAAAAACTGAAAATATTTTTTCTAAAAACAGGAACAAGAMAATGATGCCAACTTTCACCACTCCTAYTCAACACAATCCCTGAGACTCTAGCCAAAGCAATCAGGCAAGAGAAAGAAAATAAAGGGATAGGAAAAAGAAAAGAAGAGGTCAAATATATCTGTTTCCTAATGGCATGATATTATGTTTAAGAGACCCCAAAAACTCCACCAGAAGATTTCTAGARCTGATAAACTTAGTAAAGAAGCAGGATACAAGAATTGATGCATAAATCAATTGCTTTCCTATACTCCAATAACGAATTTGAACAAGAAATTAGGAAAATTATCCCATTCACAATAACCTAAAAAATAAAATAAAACACTTAGGAACTAACCTAACAAAGGAGGTGAAAGAACTCTATAAGGTAAACTATAGAACAATGAAGAAAGAAATTGAAGAGGACTTTAGAAGATGGAAAGATCTCCTATGTTCTTAAATAGGCAGAATTAATATTGTCTAAATGGCCATACTACCGAAAGCATTATACAGATTTAATGCAATCCCTATAAAAATACCAATGATATTCTTCATATAACTGTAAAAAGTAGTTATAAATTCATCTGGAAAAATAAAAAAACTAGAATAGCCAAAACAACCCTGAGCTAAAAGAGAGATGCTGGAGGTWTCACAATACCAGATCTCAAATTATACTACAGAGTTATAGTAACAAAAATATCATGGTTGCTACACAATCAGACATGAAAACCAATGGAATAGAAGACACAAAGACCAACTCACATAAATATTTAATAGACAAATATGCCAAAAACATATGTTGGAGAAAAGAGCCTTTCTAACAAATGATGCTGGGGAAACTGGATATTCATATGTAGAAGAATGAAACTTGACCCCTCTCTCTCACCCTGCACAAAAGTCAACTCAAAGTGGACCAAAGACCTAAAGATTAGAACAGAACCCCTGCACCAGCTACAAGAAAATGTAGGCCCAACACTTTACCATGTTAACACAGGAACCAACTTCCTTAACAAGACTCTTAATGTGCAAGAAACAAAATAAAAAAAAMCAATAAGTGGGTGGCATCAATTTAAAAAGCTTTTGCACAGTAAAGGAAACCAGAGTGTGAAGAAAGCCTACAGAATGGGAGATCTTTGCAACCTGTTCCTAAGATAGGACATTAATATCCAGAATATACAAAGAACTCAAGAAAATTGCTGATATGATTTATTGTAGGAATTCAAATCATATAATATGCGAATAGCACACAGATTTATACAGATTTTAACCTATAAAATAATACTCAATTATCTAGCATATGTATATGCTGATTAATAAATATAACACATAATCCCATTTAGCATAGTTACATAAGTTTATATAATATTAATGCATAAACATGAATGAAAATGCATTGTCATATAATCATATGTGCAATATATATGATTATATTTCACATATGTATAATCATAAATATACCTGTATACCAAAACTTCTTGCATATCAATAAATAAATGGGCAAAAGAACTAAAGAGACACTTCTCAAAAGAAAAAATACAAATGGTCAACAATTATATAAAAAAATATTCCACATCTCTAACAATTAGGGAAATGCAAATTAAAACTGTATAGAAATTTTATCTCACTCCAGTCAAAATAATTATTAAGAATACAAATAACAATAAGTGTTGGAAAGGATGTGGGGAAAAGGGTACACTCAAACATTGTTGGTGAGATTAAAAATTAGTGAAACCATTCTGGAAAGCAGTAACTTTTTGATTTCCTCAAAAAAATAGAAATGGAACCACAATGTGACCCAGCCATACCATTCCTCAGTAATATTTAAAAGAACTAAATCAGCAAAACTATAGTAATGCAGCCACATCAATGWTTATAGTAGCACAATTCAAAATAGTCGAGTTATAGAACCAACCTAGGTGCCCTGCAACAGGTGAATGGATCAAGAAAATATGGTATATACACAACAGAGTATTACTCAGCCAAAAAGAAGAATGAAATTATGTTATTTGCTGGTAAACAGATGGAATTGGAGACTATCACACTAAGTGAAATAAGGCAGACCCAGAAAGTCAAAGGCTGGATGTTTTCTCTGATATGCAGAAGCTAGTCCAAAATAAGAAAAAACAAAGGAGAGGGGTTTCCATCAAAATAAAAGAAAGATCAATGGAGTAGAGGAAGGGGATTGTGGGGGAGGGAGAAGGAATG